TGGGACAATGCCACAGTTTCCAATTGAAACAAAAAACAAAAACAAAAAAACCCTCTCATTCAGATCTTCAAAAAAACCTAACCAAACTGTGCATCTTCCAGAGCAATAACAAAAGTATTAGAAAGTGAGAAGCACCATAGTTCACAAGAAATGCAGCATGGACCCTATGTATTTTAAACAATCAATATGTAAAAAACATTTCTCTGCTCCCAAGCCAAACATTCACAATTCTTTGACAATCTCTCCTGGAGCAATACTAGTGGTGCAGTTAGACCTGCATCTTGCTCAGTGGCTTCTTGGCTTAGAACTGATCTCCAATAGCAGAACCAGCTTTTTAGTAGCAAAACCAGGGGAAACCCTTGGACACTGATCTTCGCTACAGTTTCAGCTCCAGAGTGGCTGTATACTTTATTAGAGTCCCAGGTATGTATTTTTTTTTCTTTGTTAGCACCACATCAGCCTTGAAAGGCAAATGCAGTGGTGTTCTGGACAACAGGAAAAAAGGGAAGAACATTGTAACTATCGTCACGTGGTTAGTGTTTAAATTCTAAAATTTAAAACTACTCGTTATTAAAAATTCATAGTTCACAGCTATAGGCCTACACAGTAAGCAAACATCTGTGGGGGAAGGGAAGCTTGTTTTTGCACCTCTGGATACATTAAAAGGAGGAGAGTGTTGATCTGACCAGGTCCCATCTGCTGCATGGAATACACTCTTCAAGCCTTGGGATCCCTTGGCTAGTTTTACCCCTCCTCCCATTGCTGGAAGACACCATCACTGCTGGCTTGTATGCATGGAGTGGTGGTATTCCTCATTTAATGTGGATGCTGGCTTCACGGTGCTGCACTCTTCTCTCTCTCTCCTCAGGAGAGGATGGCATTAGAACGGCGAATACCAACTAAATTATCAGCACTGAAAGATCGTCTCATAGCAGCTTTTGACAAGTCTTTGTATTTGTCCTCACACAGTCTGGAGATAGCCTGGAAGACATTCAAATACCAAATAAATGCACAAATAAGAAGCAGGTAGCATAAGAGTAATGTTATAGCCGAGACAGTCCAGAAATTACAAGAGAGGCAAGGATTTCTTAGGGTCATCTCTTTTATTGTACATAAAACTATGTACATAGCTGGTCCAATAAAAGAGATGACCCTAAGAAATCCTTGCCTCTCAAATAGGCAGCACTCAGGTATTAGAAAGCTCATACAGTGACAAAGCTCTTGACCAAGCAGTTGTGATGCCCCAGGTGTGCCAATAGGAACTTTAAATTGAGGTAAAATAACTAAGGGCCTTCTACAGCAAGACAGCATCTCTTAGATCTCTTCCCCACCTTTTACAAGCATCAGTTTCAGTCGCAGGAGTTCGAGACTTTTAAAGACCGTGCACCCTCTGAACAACTTCAATCTTATGCTTGCCTCTTCACAATCTAATGGAAACCTTGAATCCAACTCAAGTGTATTCACAATTGCATCTAAACAGATGGGCCTGGTCTACAGGTTTCTAAACCAAAATGCAAACAAGACCATGTGTATAAGGCCCAGGACAAAAAGGCTAAGAGGTCATTGCTCTTTCAGTCCGGCACAACTGCCCAGGACCAGGAGAGACAGAACAGAAATTGGAACTTTAATAGGATTTCTGTTTTTGCTGCCAGGATGCTAGTCAATTTTTGGTGGAAGTTATGAACTGATGGAGCCAGCCCAGAGCCCAAGGGCATGATATGTCCCCACGCTTCAATGCAGGTTTTTAATATTTGCACAGGTAGCACAAATTTAGTAATCCAACTGCTTGAAACAAATTGCAAAATTGGTTAACTTTCTTTAGCTACTAAGTCATTGGTGTAATTTTCCAGTAGTTAGCTGCCACCAAATCTGTGGGGGAACTATGGGCTCTTCATAATGGGGCAGTCTCCCCATGTTTCTAAAACAGTTGGCATGACAGGCCCTCACTTGGGATGCTCATATGCAAATGAACAAGGACGTCACTATATTTTGTATGCTGAGGCAGATTTTTCCTTCTGTGCATTCTGTTAATAATTACCACCAGCACCAGATGAACTTGCAGAGCCCTGCATTCAGGAAAAAACTTGCGCCTTCCCTTTAAGGCAGCACCCATTCTGAACAGCCCGGCATTCTGCGAGTTCAAAAGGTGAAAAGCACTTCTCAGCATGAACAAACTGCTAAGTGTATTTTAAAATAATTATTTACATTTATTTCTGTCAACCTTCTGGAGGCATTCATTTGGCTTGAGAGTGGCATTCTTTGAGACACTGGCTGCATAAGCCCCCACTACAAGGCCAGACAGAACCTCCAGCCTGTTTTAAATGCTAGCACATCAATCATAAAGGAACCTGTGTTGACATATTAAGCCTCAGTCCCCCATATGGTATACGTCATTTTTCAGTTCACTAGGATACTAATTCACTTTATATGGGCTCCCAAACTGACTTCTGTATTTTTACCTCAAAAGGCAGGGGGGGTGGGAAGGTTAACATGAAGTTTTGCAAATGCTTCAAACAATATTTATGGCTTCATGCCACAATTTAAAAAAAAAAACATACTTACAGATACATACATACACACACACACACAATTGTGAACATTGTGGCAAACCACAGCATACTGAGAACCATTCAATGACAATATTAATACGAGACACCCACCAGCTCATGGCAAAGAAATACAGAACTGAGGCTCACATCTCTACACATTACACATTTTTACTTCAATACTGAACAACTCAATAAAAACAATGTCCTATGGAATATGAACTACACTGTAACCACATTACAAGTCAGTGACACTCGTTAGCCTTAATACTACTTACTTGTCAAAGCTGAGATGGAAAGAGAACAGAAAAGCAACAGCTTTAGGTAAGGAAATGTTTAGGCACATATTGCCTATCATTTTAAAGCCTCAGTAAGCCTCCCTAAGCTTCTGGAAGAAGAAAAGCAGCCAACATGCTGTACAGGTCTTGGGGTAAATGAAAAAATAATGTAGCAAACCCCTCTTTTGATGGAAGAGGCTACAGGACTTGTTAAAGTCTACACAGGGTGGACAGGACGCAAGGTCTCTGCTGAGAGACTCATATAACAGACTGTGTTCAAGTTAGCTCAGAAAGGCTGGTGTTGCCTCTACCAGAAATTTCACCTGGAGTTTCCAGGTCTGCAAGATCATTCAAATAATTCCTCACACAGACCTATACAGTGAAAAGCGAGGCCTGTTTTAACTAAATGTACTTAAATACCAGAGAACAGGACCAGGGCCCCTGTGCAGTCAGCTTGGGACATGTGGGTGGGTGTATTTTTTTTAACTAGCAAAGTTCTGCTATGTTAGTACCAGTACATGACATTCACTCTTGTGCCTCTGGCTATTTGGGATTTTTCCAAAATGTACTCTTTTATTTAATTTGGGCTGATGATTCTTTAGAAAGGTGATTTTTTAAACTTGTGATGTGATCTGCTACCTCCAAATGTTAAATTTAATAAACCTTGATTAGGGGCATTAAAACCAGTCCTGTAAGCCAGCAGAAGCTGTACAGGAGGCACTGTGGAAACCCGCAGCTGATCTAATTGAGAATGGTTTGATCATAAGTGTTTGTGGTGTCTTGGAAAGAAGTGACAAGGGGAAGAGACCAAGAATCTAGTACCAAAGAAGCCAAACCTGAAGTATTAACCAGCCTACCTTAATTAAGTTCCCATAAATTAATACTCGGTTTTTAAACTAAGAACTCTACCAGACTTCTGTAGCTTCTCTTCTTCCTCCTCCTGCTCAGAATATCTGCTTAGGCAACAAAGGTTTAAAAATGCTCACTCTTGTTAAGGGAATAAGCTCTAATGCACCAATCTAAATGCTTTTTAGTTTTGCTAATCACCATTTAATATGATTAGCAACAGATGCGGTTACTATGCAGGTACAGGGCACCCAGCTCAGTCTCATACCATTACCTCCAGTTTCTGTGCTCGCTCTTTACTAAGAGGCTCCAAGAGAAAGCTCAGGTTGTTGTCATCTGCTAAGGAGCGAAGGTCAAAGTAGTATTTGGCGTAAACACTGGCAGGAACATTGATATTAAACTGCAACAACTCCAAGAAGTGCCTTTCCATCTCATTCCTAATGAGGAAGGAGGAAACCAGAAAAAAAAAAAGAAAAGATTCAGCATTTTCAATCGAGTCAAACTGAACAGAGCTCAAGCTCACTTTTAAAACCAGCAAACTTTGTAAAGTCACACACATTATGTATGCTCTCTTTCAGAAAGAGGTAGATTAATTCACTAGTGTTCAAAACAAGGTTCAGCTTTCGAGTCCCAGCACCTTCAGCTTGGGGGAGAAAGGTTATTGCACTGTTGTGCACTCGCTCCATCAACTCAGTAGGTTCATTCTTCCGAGTTCCATTAGTGCAGCTGTACAATTCATACTCCATTCTCACTCTCTCATAAGGCCCCACACTACAGCCATCAGATGAAAGGAGTGATGTACGCTGTTTATTAGCTCTGAAGAACTTGCAGACATTTTTGCCAGGCTGATAACAGGAAGGGGGTTTATTGAAGTAGACGCAGACCAACAAAAGGAGTAGGCATATCACCACGGCAACAAATGGATCTATGAAGAGCTGCTGCTATTATTTCCGAGAAAAAAGCCTCTTGAAGCAACATGGATTCATCTCCAATAAATAAATAAATAAGCGATATTAGGTGGGAGAAGGAATTTTCACCTCAATAGCATTAGGCAGAATAACAAAGTCCTATGTCAAAGGCTGCTGTCTCTAGTTTTGACTCACTTCACTATTTGTAGTGGGCAAAATATCTGGAGAAAAGTGGGAAGTGGCCTGTTGCATGAAAAGGCCAGGTCTGGGCTACTGTAGCATGGTCAAGTACACCAGAAATATTTTACAGAAAAATAAACAATTTTACAAATGAACCTTAAGTAGAAACTGGTACCTGGGATGGATAATTCAGTATAACACCAACTCTGAACAGCACTATAGTTCCCACAGATAATGGAGCTTTAATTACACAACTCAGCAGCTGTATAAATCAACTGTTTTCAAACTGGAGTAATGATTTTTCAATGCTAAGTTGTTCTTGCTCTTTGGAAGCTTTTAAGATGGATGTTTTACCCACCAGAAAGGGAAAAATGCATTGAGGAATCATTCAGGTTGTGTCTTGTGCTGGATGGCTAGTCTCATAATGTGAACAGCAGCTTTGTATTGTTTCTAGCAGGGCGGACTCAAGGCCCATTGAACCTACTGCCAAAATTAATTTCCTGTTCATATGGTCATAAGCCTATAGAAATGTAAATCAGATAATGTTTTGATGATCAGCTGATCAGGCCTTGATTTATCCCATGAATAAATGCTCTTCACCACCCCTTTTGTACTTGCCACACTAATACATTTTAATTCTGCAAAAACACAATACTTCATAGGATTAACAAGTCTATTAATAGGGTTTAAAAATCCAGCAAAAGCATAATGCCCATGTGTTTTGTGCTTTATTTACAAACATATGTAGCCAAAAGAATGAACAGCATGTGTCCTCTTTCATGCAATCATTGGATTAGCAGCTGCACAGTTAATTTTTTAGTAATTATGGATGCACTCCATCAAAGCAGGCAAGTTTCTGACAAATAAGGACTTCCAAATATCCATTTAATTTCCTTTGGTTTTTCAATTAGAAAGCCATTTTCTTAACTGCCTTAGGTGCAAACTTTATTTTGGTGGGGGGTGAACAGAGGTATAAAACAACAAGCAGAAGGTTGATATTTTGGTCAAACTGCCTCCTATCAACCTTTCCCATCAAAATTTTGCTTATAGACCCTTTATAAAGATCATTATAACTTTCCCCAAAAATTTAATTTTTCTACCAGATTCAACAGCTGGGACCCCAAAGACTGTAAAATCCAGTAAAATTAAAGCACATTGGCAGAGTTAAGAGAAGGGGAAAAAAATATTTCAGCAATATCCCTGCTGTTGTGGCTCTTTTTATTTAAGTTTGCACAAAGCTGAAAGCAAAGTGAAGTACCCCTCATCAGTTCTGCAGTTAGCATTCCCAGGTAAGTAGGGACCGAAGGAGCCATCGCTATCTTGGGTATCCCAATAGTCCTAAGCTCAGACAGCAGAGGAAGCCCAGGCAACACAAACAGCTACTTCTTACAGCTGCAAAATGCCTTACCTCTGTCTATGCACAAAATCTGTGTGTAAGAGTGGAAAAGGGTCCATGGGGTGTGTGGCCCCAGGGGCAATGGCTCACCCTGGTGTGGCCCCTGCTGACAGGGCCCTCCCGCCTTGTGACAGTTGGACAGCCCTCATCAATAACCAACTTAATACTTTCTACAAAGCTGTTTCCAACAGAAGAATGTGACCAATTTTTAGAAGTCTTTTTTCCAAGCACTTCCCTCAACAGGATTACCATGCTGATTCCTCCCATCAGGAAAGTAGTTTAAAAATACAGCAGCTAAGCTGGTAATTAAAAGGATGCTGTCAGACCAAATTGGGCTTAAATTAAATTTTGTTGGCTTTGGGAGTGGTTTCCTAAAGGTGCAGACCATTTTATGCAGTGCAATGACTCTTGGATCTATGTTTCTGCATGAACTCCAAAGCTCGGAGATCTTCTAGGTCCAGCAAAAGACAGCAGTGAACAAAACAAAACAAAAAAATAAAACCTTCTTCTAGAACTCCAACACACACAGCTACCAACACCTTTTCATCAAAAGGTGTAAACACTTCTGCATGCACAAGGTATTTCTCTAGGACACTGCCTTGGTAAGATCACAGAGCTTTCAACTACACACAGGAGAACACTGAAAAACAAATACTGCTACCGTTTCAATAAAACTGACTTTGGCAGGGTGATGTAGACACCCGACTGGCTGCAGATATTTTCAGCACTAGTTCAATTTGATTTGTTCCAAAGAAATGTAGAGAAGCCAAAAACAGCACTGGCAACCAGCATTAAGAGAGTGCTTTGGGTGCTGAATATGACATGCATTTTATTTAGAAAAGGGTTTCTCTCAACCATTGTCAATATTCTCTTTTTCATAAGGCACAACTAAATTAAGGAGGAGGAAAACTAAGCCTCTGGTATTCTTGAAAAAAAAAAAAAAAATCCTGTGTGAAATCCTGCAGAACAGATAGTTGCACCTAAGTCCTAGCTTGATCCTGAACAGAAGGAATAACATTTAGTGAAGATATGGAAAATACAAATCTACCAATCAACTGTTAACATCTGGAAGAGTTTAAACCATTGTTTGGATGAAGCACCAAATCCAGTATGATGTTTACTAGATCCATAAAACATCTGTGCACACACCACCTCCTTAGTACTTATGGTACATCCATAAACTAACTAATGGAGAGGCATGGGAAACTCAAGATTAGCTAACAGAATAATGAAAATTTCTGATAGCTGTATGTTTCTTAATACTAGTCTCTAAATTGCTACCCTCAAAAAAGGCAGGTGGGGAAGACAGCAAGAGATCTTTCCAAACCAAGGACCTTACACAAACTGTTCACTACCTTGAAACTTAAGTTTAGGATGTCTTTGGGATAACTAAGTATATGAATTAAAAAACAAACAGGTAAGATCAGGCTGGCCAAACAACTCAGCATAAGAACCAGGACTTAATGGAGAAGGTGATGGGACAACGCTGGGATGTTTGGGCAGAACGTACGTGTTCCCTACCACCTTTAGGTTGAATACATGCATATCAACTTATCAAGCCCCACGATCCGGAGCCTGATTTGTGTTACGGATGGTCCCTAAACTAAAGGGCTTAATTTTCAAACCTATGAAGAGTGAAGCCAGAAAGTGTACTATGGAAGACATATGAATGTGAAAAGAGGCACATGAAATGCTAAATATTCTAGGAGACATTAGTTGCCTTTGTCTCACCCAGCAGCGATACTTTGTGTCAGAAGAGCCCTCCTCCAGACTCAATGTCCAAAATTCTCTAAAATCTTTGAAACTGCTACCTTCTTCCCAAACAAGTATTGCAGGCTTCTGAGAGCTGAAGCAGCAAGATTACCAGAGCACTAATCTGTACATTTATTCTTAAAATTACAGTATAAAATGAGCAAAAGAATCTTAGGCAACAATGCCACCAACTGGGGATGGGTTGTGAGGAAGGAAAAGGCACCAGACCTCTATTTCAGAGCGTGCAATGCTTCCACAGCAGTAGAAACTAGATCTCAAGACATTGTGCCAGTAAAGTACTTCAAACCAAAACAGCACAGGTTATTCAAACGAAAATACCACAGGGCTGATCTATGATTCCTGGAGACTAAACTAAATGAACTGAAGGTTTTGACCTGTTACTTGTTGGAGTGGAGAGCAACATGGACAAATGCACACCTGTCTTGACAGTCCAGGAAAACAAATCTCAAGTGCCAGTAGTTAGCAAGATGATTTGGGGTGTTCCAGGGACAGCAATGCTGGTGCTCTTGCTAGGTCCCACTGGCATCCTGTCAGTTTCTGCTCCTACTGATGGGCAAGCATCCAAAATGTTGAGTGACCAACTGACTACCTGACCATTTACCCTGGACCCTTCCAAGGCAAAGCTTTTTAAAAAAATCTTCCAAGTCGTCTTTACTCATGACTCAAAAGAAATGTGTGAAATCAGAACAGCTTCAGATCCTCAGACCAGGACCCAACTGTCTGAGGTAACTTCCTTGTGCAAGCTGTCACAGCACTAGTTATGACCCATCTTTAGAAGCAGAATAATGATGTTTACCTGCAAGGACATGACGCAACTGCTCAGAACAATATAACCCCTCCAAACTTATCACTATGTCATTCATTTCCCCTTTCACTTGACCTACTGTGTAAGCACAAAGAACTAGAAGAGGTGATGCTTTATGAGACAGCATGAACTGGGACAGTCAAAGATAAAATGCACTGAGACAGTAACCAATGTAATGGAACCAAAGTTTCCTAAAACTTACAGCTGAAGTACATGAGATATGTAATGAACAGGCAGAATGAACAGTCAAACTAAGCAGCTGGTTATACTGATCCAGGAAGTGCTTTCAAGAACTCATCTGAGAAGGAAAGGCAGTAGGCAACACTTGGGAAGTGTCTACATTAGCAGCAGATGTCTGGTGTTCAGATCTGTTGCACAAAATAGCTCTGTACTTTGAGCTTGGGATGTTCCCGAGCATACTGGGAATACAGACCCAAGACAGAAATCACAATTAATTTCAGGAGCTTATAAAAACCCAAGCTAAAAAGGCATTCCCAAGTATTTCATTTAAATTTCACCTTAATAGACACAAAGGAATCCTTGAAAAAAAATCACTTTCAGATTTTGATTGGTACAGTACAGCAATGACATTCATGAGGTAATAAAAAAAATAAAAATAGCAAATTGATAGTGTGAAAGAAAAGCTGTGAGTGGGCAACACAAATTAGTATAGATTTTTATTAACTTCAGTATGTAAGTCACTAGAAACAAGTACATGTTTCCCTCACTTTATGCTGTACATGCGTTCCTGGAAAAAAACACTCAACTCAAATTCACATAAAGGGAACCCACTTTCCAATGTAACAATAGGGATATGTTCCAAAACCACGACTGTACTGACCCCCAGACCCATCTCTACCACTTTTACAAGACAATTTTGATACTCACCAACAGCAGACAGTACACAGAAGCTCAGGGTGGCAGTGAATGTTTAGTTGGTGTGAAGAGAGGATGGTGAAGGCTTCATTGATGGATCAGGAAGAGGGGTAGGTGATAAGCTAGTGGGACGGTGAAACCACAATGGGGATGGCAACTACAGAAACATGTGTTGCAGACAACGAACGAGGAGCACAGATCCACACAGGAGACTATTTTGGTGTGTGTCACTCCCACAATGCAGCTGATTGCGGGCTGCCACCGCACTGATCACATAAGCGTGAATTTACCTCGCATATAATGAATTTTTTATATAAAAAGAGGGTCATCGCATAAGAGTGAATTTGCACATATGGAGCCTGCATAAAGTGAGGGAAATCTGTATAGGATTTATTTTCATAAGAGAGTTTCTGCTAGCTGCCCTGTTAGGTAATTCTCTTGCTTTAAAAAGCAATGGAAGCCCAACAACAAACTATTTCAGTTCTGTGTACTGAGCATCAGTCTTAGAATGGACCACTTGACTAGATCTCCAAAAATGATGTTTGAAAAGAGCAGCAAATTGATGACATCTTGCAACTTACATGTCCTCAACCGTAATGTCCTTTAATATTTGGCAGTAATCCACATTCCATACAGCCTGATCATCCCAAACTTTAGAAGCCAGCAGAATAGCTCCTAGAACTATTCTTTTCCAGTTACTAGGACAGATGTCAATCTCCGCATAGGTTAAGAGTCTTTCCAAGTAAACCTACAAAAAGAGAACTGATCTTAGACATCTTTGATCTCAGTCAATGGCTGTTAAGAACTCAAACCAATGTTCTCATCTGATTTAACTAATATTCATTCATTTATCAGAGTAAGCCATCAGTGACTATTACTTGGTTTTAAAATTTAGAATTTAAAAGTTACATAAATCCATGTCAATGGAAGTCATAAAGAGAGAGCTGTCTTAAAACATACTATAAAGTTCTTGAATTTCTAGTAACTTCTGCTGTACCAGTGAAAAACTGAACTCAAGTCAATTATTGGAAATATCAGATTTTTCATAATTGAACATCCGTGACTACTAACCACTCATCCCTAAAACTCTCTCATCATGGATCAGCTGCAGCATTTGAAGCAAGACAGGAAGAACTAGTCTGAACCATGGTCTGTTCTTAGGCAGATGTGTTGCATGTTTTTTTAAATCACACAAGTCCTTAGATGGTTTGTATGAAACAGACTGAGCCACCACCACCCAACCCTTTGGCAGTTGAGCTACCTCATGTTTCAGCTTGCTGCACTCAGAGACAGGTGGTGAAAAATCCTCAGATAAAAACCTACAGTTTCAAGGTATTTTGTTTCCCTCATATGGTTTCCAGGCCCAACCAGCCCATGAAGCTTGAATCTCCATTGCCTCCTGACAGAATTTCTCCATCTTTATACACACAGGTTTATTACAGTTACATGTGCTAAGCAACTGACAAATATATATATATTTTTTTAATTAAAAAATAAATGTGGTGTTATAAAAATATTTTATAAAAATAAAAACACCACTTTTTTAATACAAAAAAAGCATATTATTTAAAATGTTCCATTCACAAGCAGGTACAGGAATTTGGAGGCAACTAGCTGACCAACCTCAATACTACCCTTTGCATTCACCAGGCTTTTTGAATGATAAAGATAACTAGGTACCATACTTACTAACTTTTGTTTCTATTAGTCTTAGATTGGACTCTAGGAGTTTTTCTATAGGTAACAGAGCCATCTAGTGGCTGAAATCCACTTTAAAGAAAAAAAGAAACCCACAAGCCACACATTTCCTTAATCTGTTATTTTTCTAACAACTTTGTGACCTTGGGCAAGCTGTTCAGAACAAGAACCTTGTTTTCCAAAACTGCTTGCATGCTTTACCCAAGCAAAGCACAACAAGAATCTATTCACATCTATGAATCTATGAAGAATGTAGTTATTCAGCCTTCTCAATCACTATTTTTAAAAGTCAAATTATGAAATAAAGAGGTTCTCTCTTTTCCTATACTTTCTTTTTTGGTTATATTTTTTTCCCTTCTCTACTCATCTTTTGAACTATATTTATCTCCAGGAGTAAGAGAAATCAAAATTAATCTAGCAGATGACTGAAGCCCAAATTCTCAATGCAGTGGTTTTTTTGGATATTCTGTATCTCTTCAGTTCCTCCACCTAATCTACTTTTTGAAGTTGTTCAGCAAGATGCAATGAAATGTACGCCTTTGTTGTTAATTTAGTTCTAAACACACAGTCACATACCTTGAAAAAAAGATTCTACCTAAAACTAAATTTTACGAGGATATTAAAATAGCAGGAGGTGGTCTAAGAGTGCAAGGACAAGAAGTTTCTCAGTAGAGTACTGTTGCTTGACCCTTTGGCAGCTGTGTTTTATTTAGACTCTGACTAAAAGATCCCATCTACATATTATACATAAGGCATGGTTAACCAGTTTATCATGCCTTAAGTAGTCACCAGGCAACATGTTCAATCAATTAATGGTACGATAAAGAGAGAAATAAGTTGAAAAGTTATTCCACAAAATGTGTAATAACTTTGTAGCTGCTTCCTGTCAAGCCATTAATTGAACATGCAACTAGGGTCCCTGTGGCTGGAAGCCCCTGATCAGAGCTCAACGCTAGGGGGGAGGGGGCCCATGGGCTCCCGTGAACCTGGGAGCTCCCAGCTGATGCTGGCTTCCATGCCTAGGAGCCCCAACAGCTAACAGGGATCCCACCCCAGCGGCATCCCATGCAACACCACAGCTGAGGCACCATGTCAGCTGTGGTCTCACTGCTATGGGGACCCCTGGGGCTGGAAGGGCTCCTAGTCACAGGAGTCCATGGTGAACCTCCACACCTGGGAGCCCCGTTAGCTGAAGGGGCTTCCAGCCATGGGAGCTTGCTTCTTGCCAGTGCAGGGAAAGCTGGGGTCAGGCTCCCCCTGCACCAGCAGTAAGGAGTGATAGAATCTGATGCGCCATTCCACAATCACACAATGTGTGGGGCATGGCAGGAGTCATGATTGTGCATTAGATCATCGTGCCTTTACCTGCACATGTAGAGGGGCCCAAAGTAACTGATAAGTTAGAAGCAGCCTACCTCTTCAATGGATGAAACAGAGAAGATGTTTTTTCTTTCACCCCAGGATTACCCCACTGTTTGGCCTGGCTATCCATTACTATCCCTTCCTCTAACCTGCAAATTTCTGTGAGAGGCTTGCACAACCATTTTATTCTCCTCAAACAGCCCCACTGTGCCACTAGCATTGTATGCAACAGCACTATAAAATAACATGGCTAGTTTTACTGTTGCTTACAGGTTCAGATATACGAGTTCAGTGGTGCTCAACCAGATGGGCAGCACCCAGACCACCCACGGGCGATTTCTGGCTGGTGGTCCCAATCTGGCACTGGGCAGTTTTGTGAGAGCCCCACATGGTTGCACAGAGGAAAGCAGGGGGCATCCTGGCTTTAACCTGGTCCCAAAGTGCTGCATGGGGCTTGGGAATTTGGCAGCATAGGAGGGTGGCCATATTTACAGCCACTGCTCCCCTGGTACCAAATTTCCTAATTTGTGGGGAGCCCTGTGGACCCGATACCTAGGGCTGCATCTGTCCCACAGACTGGAGGCTGAGCACCCCTGTACTAGGTCTCCTGGAAAAGCCATAGGTAACCAGGGCTGCAGCTGCTTCAAATTTGCCCAATAGCACATGTCAGCTACTTTAAACTTTAATTTATAAATAACATTAGCTTTTACATTTTGTAAACCTAATAACTTATATAAACACATTGAAATGTTTGCCCGTCTCCAGGAAAACTTTCCTTTTCACCACTGGTGTATTTAAGCCCTTTCTGAATATCCCACAGCAAGAAGTCTCCAGTAAAGTAGCAAATAAGAAATTTGAAAATCTATACATGAATTCTAAATTAACATGCATAAAACCCATTCATTTTTTCCACTACAGCCACTCACTGGCTAACAACAAACCAGATATTACACTACTTGTACAACCCGTATGTATAGGAGCTGAATTGAAGTCCCATCTCAACTATGCTTGCGGATGCATGAAAATAACCCACAACAATTACAATAAGGTCACAACTCAGTTAATACTGATCAGTTATAGGATGGAGACTGCTTCCAATAACAAATACTCTAAGCTACATTCAAACCAGTAACCACATATCCCATTGGCAGTTCCCTGTAACCGCATTCCTCTTCAGGGCAAAATATGTAGCTGTTTATGGTCTAAAACAAACAAGTTTCATGGGACAAGTGATTGAGGCTTGAATATTCAAGTATAGGAAAAGAACTGCATAAGTGCCTGTGGAAAGCTGTTAAAAATATTTTCTGATTTATAGTTGAACTGTAATACAGTTAATCTTTATTACCAATACAGGCTTTCAAAGACCCCTTTTTCATCTAGTTATATTTTAGATCTGACGTAGTTTAATTTCATAAATGAAAAAATAGACCTTTAAAGCTTATATTCAGAAACATATTTCTAATGACCAAGTATGTCTTACTAGTGTCACTATTGCACATTCAGCTGTCAGCTGTGCCGCACTAAAAAGTGTCCGTACAAAGCGGTAGATGTGCTTGTGATCAGGGTCATGCTTGTAGTAGTCATCTGGAACTTCTTCTCGCTGAAACAGAAAGAATGTGCAGTTACTGCAAATACTGCAAGTCTTACTTACTAAAAACTTCCACTTGCAAAAAAGAAAAAGAAAAAAAAAAAGGAATACAATCCTATATAGAAAGAAGTACTGGGCATGGAATAGTGAGCATCCCCAATGAAAAGCAATAGTTTTATTATTTGTAATTTGTTTTAATTCATGTTCTGCTTTTGTAAGAATGAGTTTAAATTAAAATCAGACAGCTTCCTATTATTCTGAAGATGTATTAAAGTTATATTCTTGGGGTAATTTTTATAAAGTGAATAGTTTTTGACATGCAAGAAGTTTGTAAGAAAGAGTAAGTTTTCTCGGTGGCATACTAAGATTTACATAATGTCCTTGTATATAACAACATCTTTTATAGATATATCACTACTACTGAAGATATCACAGTATTTTTACTCACCTGAATTAAATTCCTTAACACAATGGAAATTAAACTCATTTTTTGATCTCCAAGGCCAACTGACAGACCCACGATCCATCTCTACATGCCACCATGGAAATTAAGTGTCATCTACAGAATTTCTCATGTTATTTCCAGATTTATCAGGACACACATTGTTTCACTTCGGAGAAGAAGTTTCACACGCACATGCACGCACCCAACACTGGCTTTTCAAAAGACAAAACTGAGAAAAATACCTCAAAAGGTTCCTCCCAGCTGAGGGGACAGTGATGGAAGAGATACTATTTTAAGTAAACTAATGTCAAAAGCATAATTATTCTTATCTTTAATGATACTGGCCATATAGGAGCCTCACTATCAATGAAAAGAAAGCTTAAGGAACCCCCCCCCCCAAAGAATCCATGGGCACTTCCCCACATGCAGGTGTGTGCATTTGCTATGGCACAAATAGCAGCAGCACACATTTGTGCCACTGCTTTGTGCCCCAAGGCATGCTCCAGCACATGCCAAATTGTCCCAGGTGGAGCAGGGGAGGCCAGCAGCCAATCTGGCTACACAGAGCATGGTCAGCAGCCAGAGTGTGGCTCTGGACAGCCAGACCATTTCTGGCGGCACACACTGCTGCCGTGTGTGCTGCACCTTTTTGTCTCAGGTTTTTTTTGACACTGGGATTTTTCAGTGTCACATTTTGGCACCACACTACAGCAGTGAATGGTTGCACATGTGCTGTGTGTGGTTTGCAGTGCTTCCAACACCTTTGAGCTACTGCAAACCACGCGCACACGCTCATCTTGACACACCCCAGGGGCGCATCCAGATGAGTGCTGACAAGTGCTGCTACTTGTCCCTGGGGAATGCCTGTGCCATGTGTGCTCTGGCACGTGGCAGGTTACCCTGGGTGAGGTACAGGAGGCTGGGACCAGCAACTGTGATGGCCCCAGCAGCCTTACCTGGGGTCCTGAGGGCCTCCCAGGGCTGCAGCCATGGCAGGAAGCCCAGCTGGCAGCTGAAGTGTGGCTCCAGATGGCCCGGCTCTAGTTCTGGGTGGTGCACAATGCCACCACGTGCCACCCTGGTTTTTTCGGCATGGGTTTTTTGACCCTGGGATCAAAAAACACTCTGTGGAGAATGCCAGCATGCGTGGTATGGGGGGGGCCGCAGACAGGTCTGCGGCACCACATACTGCACATCTGCACTTGTCTGGACGTGGCCCATAATCAAGGAGGAGCAAACTGTTTTAACAGTTTAAGTCAGGAGTTGCCAAACTACTACTATAAGACCAATGGCTACAGCAAGGTCTAAGTTAAAAGTGACAAAGCCAAAAATGAAGTGATTTTAAGTAAGGGAGATGCAAGATATCATACTAACCTCTCACATCCTGTAAGACTTTTTGAAAACTTGACCAACACCCCTAAAGGAATCTTGGTATCCCAAACTTGAGGAGGGTTGAGAGTTTGGGCTTTCAAACTGAGAGAGGTTTTGCAGGATAAAAATTAAAGGGATCTAATGCAAATTGAAGCTAAACTGCAGTAATCATAGGATAATACTCTCATGCTTCCTCTGCATGTTCAATAGCAATAACCATATGGTAGGGAAAGAGAGAACTTCAAGAGCCACAACAGCTTGCCAGCTGGATCATAATGCTGTGGCACTCAAAGCCAGACAGAGACAGAACTGAGTAGTAATATAGTGCAAAGGTGTCATCAGAAGCAAGTAGACTGATGAACCTGGGTCATATCTGGACAGCACTTAGGATTTTTTAATACATCACATGCTAAGAAAGTATGCAAATTAGAAACACAGCTGTCAGAATGATCACCAGTACTAAATGCCACACATGATAATGCATCATGTCCATACCCTCGTGCATATACTTTGTGCTTCTCTTGTGCCTAACAGAGAAAAACGAGGACTGAGAGCCTTCTCCACAGAGGTCTGGGGGAGCTGCAAAACAAGCAGGTTCCAAAACGCACAAAGCAGCACCTTAACTTTGAGAGCTAAACTTTAATATGCTGTTCCTGAGGAAAACCTCTAAGTGGATACCAAACCCTCAGCTGACTAACAAGGTTGCTGGATGTTTTCATGCACAGGTTCCTTGCACTCAAGATTTTAACAACTGCAAGTTAGTGAGCAAATGGTTCTCCTGGGACTTCAAACAAATGATACTGGAGACTCAGCAAATGTTGGAGTTTCCGATGTTGCAATGAAACTACCTGAGCAGGGTCTGTGCAACAAGTGGCACTGACACAGTCCAGATGTCTGAGTCAACTTTGACCACTGCACATGTCACTTAAAGGACCACATCTTAAACAGACTGGGAAATACCAGAAGCAGTAGCTTCAGGGAAAGTGCACAGGCAAGAAATACTCAGGTGCCTGGCATCAGAAACAACATTCAGGCCACAGCAGGATGTTAAATATATGGCCTGTAGGGCAGAACCAGCCTGCAGAGCCTCTTTGTACAGTCTCCTGGGACACCAGCAGTCACCATGGCAGATTCTGGGGTCCTTTGAGCCTGCTAGACATGGGTGTCACCAGGGCTCTTGCTTCTACTGCAGTGGCCACTGTCACAATCCCCTACATCCCGAGCTGTATCTGGCCTTCAAGGAGCCCTACGGACTGGATCTGGTCTGGAGCCCCAAGCAAGTTTGACACTCTTAAGCCATAGAATAAGGATTCCTCAAAGGTTACTGGAGCACACTACAGTGCTGATGATCTTGAAGCAGCGAATTCAGCAAGTGAGCAACAAATAATCTGACTGAAGGCAGGGAGAGTGACAGGGGAAAGAAACCCAAAAAACCTGGGCATACTTGAAACTGGACATGATAAAGTCAGTAATGAATCTGTTGGTGTAGTTCCTTCAGGAAGGACTTCCCTTGATTTGGAACAGCCTGCTCCTCCAAATCAAGGAGGAGCAAACTATTTTAACAGCTTAGGTCAGGAGTTCCCAAACTACAGCCCAGGTCAGATCTGGCCTACAGGCATGGGCCTGCAGCAGCAGAACTGACCCAGTTTGTCTTAGAGGTGGGCAGGCACTAGGATCCAGCTGCCACCACCACTGCTTTTCCCAGTAGCTGCACAAGTAAAGTACACACAGTGGCACGGGAAGAGTGCCCACAGTTGGCTTTTTTCCCTGTAGTTGCAGAGAATTTCATCAGCAGCTGTTTTCCCCTGCTGCGCAGGGATAAGCACCAGTTTTGGACACTCTCTGCATATACCACCACAGGGAAAAGTGGTGACAGTGGCTGGGTCCTAGCACCCATTACATCTGTCCTTAGGAACAGAACTGAGATGTGAGATGGGTAAACCGTTCTCAGCAACAGGGACTCAACTCCTTTGTATTGAACAGCCTCATGTATGGTATTTTTAGAAAACTCTTTCAAAATAAGTTTGATACTAGAGCTCAAAACCCAATGCTACAGATACCAACAAATACCTGTAAAATTACTTAATAAAATAAAACATGACATTTGTCCTTCACTAGTCAATATATACACTGCATCAAGAGATGAGCCCAAGAGTTCTGTTTCATTGACAGATGGACTACAGTTCCCCTCTGCATCTACCTTGAAAGATGGACTGTTGTTGTTTTTATAATAAAGGTGCAGCTCCTAGCACAATGCGGTCCTTCCTAGGGAGCCTACATGATACCAGAAAGACACTGTAACACTTAAGTTACATTAACTCTAACACTTAATTTTAGCATCTGGCAGATAAATTAACCATCATCTGCTTAAAACATTTGAACTATAACAGGCTCAACTAAATTAATTCCTGACAAAAATGAGTAAATGACCAGGACTCTGCAAGGCAGTCATAAACCTGACACCACTCAACAACTACCCACAGAAAGCACACAGCCTTAAGCTAGAATCTATTATTAGATTTTGCACCTTAAAGATTGTATAAACAGCACTGTAATTATAGACTAACAACATGGTGAATCTCCCACACTACAAGGTAAGAAGCACTAAGTGTATTTACATTAACGAATCTGAAAAGGCAAAATTTTAAAAAGGCCAGGCTCACTGTCTCCTGCTTTGTGCAATGCTTCATACACCATTTACTCCTATTTACAGTCACTTAAAAGTAGACATATAGGTTTTCAAGGAAATACATGTCTTTCTAAATGACTAGGAAACCAACTGCATGTCAAAGTAGCACTAAAACACACAGGAGGAAAATGGCAAGGAAAAAAAAAGTGTGGAAGCAAATTCTTAAGCCCCTAAATATCAAACCTTCATTACACTGCATTTTGTTTCATCTTATTCTACAGATACCAAAGGAAAAGGGAAAGACAGCACATGATATGCAAATTTCTTCAGGAACCAACTGGCTTCTGAAGGTCAGAAGAGATAGTCATGTCTTTGTTTGGTGAACTGAGTACAGAGTAATTTAAAAAAAGGAAAGATTTTACTCTTTGGACCTGGATACTAATCCATGCTCTCTCTCACATGCAAGACAAATCAAGGTGAAAACACAGAACTAAAAAGAGACTCAAGAGATGGCACTTACTGTAAGAGGATGTGATTTTTCATCAAAAATATCCAATGATCTGTCTGAATCTCTATAAAATAAGGAGTACATGTTTTACCAATAGGGATTAGTTATTGATGGTGTACAGCATCTCTTACTAAGCTATTCACTCTATTAAAAGGGGATTACAGGTACATTTTATAGTTTCAACTCTTTTCCTGAAATCTGGAGCTAGGTTTTGCTGCATTCCCTTAAGACCAATTATGAAATCTGCCACAACCGAAAGTGTTTAATAATTAGAAGAGAATAAACCACTAGCTCAACACTCAAAAGTTAGTCAGGCATCTAAAATATAAGTACTATAGGCAACTTAATAAAGTTGCCAGTGTTTTCTTTTCTGCAAATACATTCATTAAAGGTAATCTTCATTTTGAAGATTACAAAAGGGTTCATTAAGGTAACAAATGCTATCAAATAGTTGAATACGATTTTAAATCCATGCTGCAGCTAACGATATAAGCCATGAGTGCCAAACCCTTGTAGCACATTTCCAACAGAGCTGCAGCTCCATTTTCAATTAAAGAAACAGTGTTAATTATCTACATAAATGAAACATGAGTTAATCACATTGTAAATTCCTATAGGTAGTTTTTCCATAACGTAACTACTCAAGACCCACCCCAGATGAAAAAAGATAACATTGCTAGTCAAAGTCAGCACTAAGGTAGCAAAATGTTTGCTTCCTCTATAATTTTGCATTGAGATGGCTAACTTAAGCTATCGTGATATCAAAACTTTGCAATAAAGTTACAATCTGTGATATGTGATTGTTAGAGCAGTGGCTCTTGACTTTGAGTCTAACAAGGGATGCCTTGACCCTAATGAAGAAAATGCCAGTTCTTAGCTTTCACTGCTTTCTTGACAATGGAAAAAAAAGGAACAATTCTGCTGCGGCAAAGAACTCAGAAAGACCACACAACAGGTCAGATTTTTGACACTATGGATTATCTGGGTTTATCTTGTTGATCATATAGAGAGGGAGTCAGTCAAGCTAATCTGAAGGCAGGCAGAAGGCAGGGCAGGGCAACACCTTAGAGACTTGTTCAAAAATGCATAAGCCTTTGCAGACAACAGCCTAACTTCATCATTCATTTCTTAGCACCTGACAAAGTAGGCTGTTGCCAGTGAAAACGTCTGCATTTCTGAACAAGTCCAAGGCAGTGATTCTTAACCAGGGTGCCAGGAAGTGTAAGCAGATGAGCAGAAAACAGGCTGAGGCTTCAGGTGCGAGGAGACAAGCAGATAAGAGTAGGCTCAGGATCCCCAGTCTAGCTGCTCCCCAGCCCTCACTGCCTGACCCCTCTGCAAGGAGGTAAGCCATGTGGATAAATTAGTATTTCAACTGGGCTGCTGTTCAAAATGACAAGTTTTGGAGGGAGTGCCTTAAGGCAGATGAGGGGTGCCTAGAATCTAAAAATGTTGAGAATCTCTGCTCAAGGGTACCACCCTGCTCCATCTTGGGAATCATGTGCAATTGTTTGCAGGCCTAATAGTGCTTAACACTGAATGGTATCCTAGGATGCCACAAGATTGTTTAACGGGTGAAGCAGTGCCCTGACTGAGAAACACTGACTTGGAGCTCCTTCAGGAGTACAATCTGGCTCCAACCTCCTTGAAAAAACAAAGGTGGAGTCCTGAA